CACAAGGTTTATAGCTGGACACAGGACAGACTGAATATACTGCATTAGTGAGGAATGTCACACCAGTATTTCAGCATCGAGTGCTAAACAGTATCCATCTCTGCTTTTGTGTTGCAACTCACTCCCTGGCAACTTTCACTTATACGCATTCCTGGTTTTACTGCGCAGGGGTTTTCTGGAGGGGAAGGAGGCCTGTAAAGTCATCCAGAGGCTGTTGGGACGTGATGGGTGTGAGATGTTTTGTTCAGGGAAAAAAAAAGTGTGGTTTCCATGTTTCTGGGCCTTTGTGAGGGTAAATGGATGGTGGTGATAATGATAATGGAGCAAGGTACAGTGAGAGTAAAAGGATGCATCTACTCATTAACTGGAAGAGAGCAAAGTACAGTCAGGAGTACACAATATATCAGCTTTTTGTCAGCACTGAACAATGAGAGGGAGACTGACAAATAAGCCTCAGTAAAAGCTATCACTATAATATACAGTACAAGAGAAGAGGGTTTTTTTAAGCTCAGTTTTTATTTTATTTTTACTGTTTAAATTATTTTTAATCAAGCCTTTACTGATTTTTCTCTCTTTTTATTCTTTTTTTGGACCACAATCGTGTTCTTCTGGGTGTTGGGGGAAGAGAGATAAGTAGAAAACCCAAGAGGGAATGACGCTTGGCAGCAAAGAAGTGAACATAGCTTCAGACATTAGATGGGTCAGCAGATAAAAACACCACAGTAAAGTGCCTGAGCAGAGTTTCGGTCACCTTGGCGATTTAGCAGGCGTGTCCCAGCATTGCAACAGTTGGCTGGACATGTTGCCTCGCCCAGTAAAACAAAGACCACACAAACACTCTCTCAGATTTACAGAGAACAATAAGGTTCTGTGTGGACACTGTATCAGCTGCATCTGTGCCTATAACTGTGGATCAATGAAATATTTTTAGCATGTTCTCTCCGTGCTTGCGTGGGTTCTCTCCGGGTACTCCAGCTTCCTCCCACCCACAGTCCAAAGACATGCAGCTTAGGTTGATTGGTGTCTCTAAAAAATTGCCTGTGTGTGTGCATGTGTGTGTGTGTGTGGTTGTTCGTCTATGTGTTAGCCCTGCGACGGATTGGCGACCTGTCCAGGGTGTACCCCGCCTTCGCCCGATTGCCGGCCGGGATTGGCTCCGTCCATCAATGGTCTGAATGAAGTAGCTGCACTCTGCACTTGTGTCTGAGTGCTTAATCAGCGCAAAAAGGGTTTAGGAAACAGAACTTAAACTTGGTGTGTGTCTGATGTCTGTCAATTTATTCTCATTTCTATGATCACCAGCAGTCATTTATCATCTTGATATACAAGCTGTCACAGTTTTCCAAGGAGGCCACACCTTTAGTAGGCAGGAATACATAGTGATTGCAAGCATAGTTTCTGTTTGTAGCCTGATGAGTCAGTGCATTATCTGTAAAACAGCGTAGCATGTAGCTGCAAGTACGGACAATCTTCTGGGCCTGTTTCTACATGATCTTATGCCAGAATCACTCCAGCTGAAACTCACTGAGCCGCTGCAGTGTGTGTGAAGGTGGGATCTTCCAAGAGCGTCAAGTTCAGATTAACGTTTTTTTTTTAGACTCATGCACATTGATATAAAATAACACATGGCGGCCTCAAAGAAATATGTGGGGGACTTGCAACTTGTTTCTGGTCCATGGAAGTGTCACAGAGAAGAAAACTGGGGACAAACACTAACTAAGGAGGAACATGTGCACAGCACGCGCACACACACACAATGCAGTATGATGCATGGGGGAGAAAAAGTGGGCTGGGCTCACTAGAAACACAACATGCCACATCCTTCTGCAAAGCCAGAGGGCAAAAAGATGAGACACAAATTCCTTCTATTCAAACCAACTCAGATTATAGTGCTCACCACACTGTTCAGTTGTGCTAGTTTCTGAGAATTTTATTGTAATTTGACACCCTGGCTTTTAGCCCTGACTTGTCTTATTAGAAGTAAAGAAAAGCACTTGCTTATTGCAGTGAATCACACTGAAAGCCATAACCAGCTGTTGCACAAACAGCTTCAAGGAGGGAAATATTTTTTTCCTTTGTCAGTTGAAGCCTTTGTTTGTTGACTTTGACGTGCGTTGAGCCCCGCGGTACTTCTAGAGCATCTGCAGTGTTTGCAGAAATCAACAAACACGCTCTTTTTTTTGTGTGTGTGCAGTACACATAAGCACAGTGGACCCCGGCACTGTGCTCAGCATCATGGTCAGTAATAAGTCAGACATCTGAAAACACTTGTAACCAACACAGTGAATGCATTGTGTTGTTGGTCATATGTCACATGCAGTTTTAGGCAGATACTATAAATGCAGACACACTTTCTTTCCTGGGGTGGATGACATTCCGACTGCAGAAATGTGATGTAAGAAAACATCCATTCATCTTCTGACAATGAGAAGTTCTTTTGGGTCCGTGGAGCCTCGTTTTAGCATTAATTTTCTTTTTTTTTTTTTTACATTTGGTCTTTATTTTAAAAATGTAAACAAGGAACGGAGTAAATGGAGGACCCTCAAAGGAAACACGATAGAGACACTTCATATTTATTAGATTTAATGTATGTAACACACCGTCCCACATGTTCTGACAGGGAGCAGCATGTTTTTGCTTGATCTTTTGTCTGGTATTCAAAAGGTGTTGAATGCACACGTACAAACCTGTTTTGACATTTTACAGTGAAGTGCATTTAAAATCAGGCATAGTAGATCTGAGGAAATGTGAATATTTTACTCTGAGATACAGTAAAAGAGATCTTTGTTAGGACTGAATTACTGAGTAAATGTAGCAAGGAGAGTGATTTATTAATGACACAAGATGAGGTGTAGAACAAACTTGCACCAACAAGTGTCATGGTGGTTACGCAATTGAAAGCACTATGAACATAAAGTCTGATTAGATGCCTAAGAATGTCAGATTACTAGTAATATATTTAATGAGGCTCAAAGTAAATACAATAAGAGTTATGGATGGTGTGTAGTAGTATTTGATACAAGACAAACAGAAGTCAGACTCCACTTGCAGGTGTTAGGTTTTTTTAGTCAGATAGATATTGGATGGATACTTTATGTATTAGAAATGTTTAGTGGAGATAGGATGTCTAGTTAGACTGTTAAATGCTTAGTCATGCTTATGAGTTTCTACAGGGTACATCTGGTCAAGGATAACTAGAGAGAAGAGTTGATGACTGTCAGCAGACAGGGTGTTTAATATTATTATTATGACGTGTATAACTGTAGCCTTAGCCATAATATGTTCTTATGTTTAAGCCACGACATGTTACTAGAGGTCGTGAGAATGTTTTTAGCTACACACCACTTAACCAACAGACACACACACACATTGATTTGCTTCATGTTTTGACTACTGCTATGACCAGCTGCAAAGCTGGCACCAGAGACGTCTCGGTTGACGTTTCTGTGTAGTATGGGGCTAGCCCAACCAAGGGGATATAATGTATAGGCCTGGTGGGTTCAGGGTCTTTCATCTTCAAGCTGCCTGTGTGCAGTTTGGAGGTGCAAAATGCCTGAGCGTGTAATGTTAATTTTTACCTGTGTTCATGGAATAAATCAGCACTGTTTTGTAGTTACTTGGACTGCCTCGTCTCTCAGAGTCAGTATGGTAAAAAGTACCGGGTACAACACAGGCATTTTCTTAAAGGTTTAGGGTCTTGTGTCATGAGGAGTACCACTGTACACACACACACACACACACACACACACTCCCACAGTAGAGTCAAAACCTGTGGAGCAGGTTCCTGATTATAATGCGTCAAGCAGGCTGCTCCCACAGCTCTATGGGTGGAGGCCCGGGGTGAAAGGTCACATGGGCTGGCTAGCATTCCTGTCTTACAGCTGTCTCACAGTTCACTTCTCCTTTCCTCCACTGTTAGTCACTGCTGCTGCTGCTTTATATTGTCATTTTAAGGTCAGGGTGCATTGGCTGGAGAGGTGGGGGCCTCATCATGTGAGCAGCATTGGGGAAACAACTTTGTAGTTTTACAAACTATCAATCACTTTACATTAGAAACAAGTTAAAGTACTCTAGAGAGAAATGTAGTTTGGTAAACTAAAATTACTTGGAACAAGTCATTTCAGCTACTTTGCATCATTTGTAAAAAAAACAATCAAGCTGACAATGTAAATGTGACACAAAATTATAACGTAATAAAAGAAAACTGGTATGCTAGCAAAAATGACACTCAGTTGATTTTATTTACCAAAACAAACCTGTCCTAAATAAAATAATCCCACCTGGGCTTTTTTGCACTGATATTATATATTTGGATTTGTATTGTCTAAAACAACAATATAAAGTGTAATATATATGTATTAGTGCACCTCGACTGTTTGACTGACTTTTATAGCACTGGTCTATTGTTGCTTGTCCGTTTTGCAGCATCTAACTTGTACAAACTTACCAACTAAAACAGTCTTGAACTTACACCATAGACCATATAAACAGCTTGAGCACTGGTCTAAATGGGCCTGTCTTTTAGAATCTCTTGTTTATATGGCACAGGAGGAGTCTCCTGATCTTCTTATCCAAAAGGTGGCTCCTTTGGGCATTAAAATGTCCTTGTCAGTGCTGAGAACCTGCTCACAAGCAGCACTGGCTGGGACATCAGTGTTGAGCTTTATGAAGACTTTTCAGGTTTTTGGCAGAAAAAATAAAATCTTTCCTTTTTGGCCCAAAATTATTTGTACTTTCAGTAGTTCACTACACAAATGTCATTTAACTACTTCAATTACTGCACAAATGTGAATGTAGTTGAACTACTAAGCTACTGAAAATGTAGATAAACTACTAGTTTAATTACATGAGCAATTAATGTCATTCACATCAAAACTGAATGACAGTTCTGTTTAAGAGAGCAGGGACCTTGCTGGAATATTGATTAGTTCATGAAAAGATGCATGCGTGTAGTGAAGCTCATCATTTTCTAAATCCTGACTTTGGCTTTCTGTTTTTAGGCTTGCTCCATTGTTGTGCTGATAACGTGAGGCAAGGATGGCAATGCAAAGTAAGTCATTCAGCTTTTTTCCTTTTCTGCTAATTCAGTTTTAATAATATAGAGATTAGTGTGTATTTTGATTGGTGCAGTTTCTTGGTTTACTCTTCTCACCTCATTTTATAGCATGCATTTTTAAAGGAGATTTAAATGTTTTGATCATGACCTTTCCTACTTCCACCTATTGTTTTCATACTGTATAGTCACTTCCTTAAATTATAACTAAACATGACTTCTGTAAAAATGTTTATGTGGAGTAGAAGTACTTTCTGTTGGGGAGAAAAATCCAGGCAAACACACAAAAAATGTTAATTTTAAATGTAAGAATAAAATTGATGATAAGGTTTAATCCCTAATTGTCAGATTTCTCACTGTTTGTTAAACCTGTTAAAAATGAACTTTGCTCCAACCTGACTTCACACTGTTCCACTCTTCGTGTTTGGTAGTGGGGGAGCTTGATAGTGGCATGGTGAAGGTGGCAGAATGGCAGCAGACGATGTATGACATAGACTCGGGCATCCAGTCCAGAGCCCATACGGTCAGAGATGATGACGGTGATTTGGTCACCTCCAAGCACTACACCGTAACCACTACTGTCACAAGGGACCAGCCCGGTAAGATCACAAGCTACATCAGACCAGCCAGTACAGTGGTGTGAAAAAGTGTTTGCCCCCTTACTGATTTCTTATCTTTTTGCATGTTTGTCACACTGTAATGTTTCAGATCGTCAAACCAATTTAAATATTAGTCAAAGATAAAGTAAACACATCATGCAGTTTTTAAATGAAGGTTTTTATTAAGGGAAAACAAAATCCAAAACTACATAGCCCTGTGTGAACAAGTGTTTGCCCCCTAAACCTAATAACTGGTTGGGCCACCCTTAGCAGCAACAACTGCAATCAAGTGTTTGATAACTTACCATGTGTCTTTTACAGCGCTGTGGAGGAATTTTGGCCCACTCATCTTTGCAGAATTGTTGTAAGTCAGCCACATTGGAGGGTTTTCGGGCATGAACTGCCTTTTTAAGGTCATGCCACAGCATCTCAATTGGATTCAGGTCAGGACTTTGACTAGGCCACTCCAAAGTCTTCATTTTGTTTTTCTTCAGCCATTCAGAAGTGGACTTGCTGGTGTGCTTTGGATCATTGTCCTGCTGCAGAACCCAAGTTCGCTTCAGCTTGAGATCACAAACGGATGGCCGGACATTCTCCTCCAGGATATTTTGGTACACAGCAGAATTCATGGTTCCATTTATCACAGCAAGTCTTCCAGGGCCTGAAGCAGCAAAACAGCCCCAGACCATCACACAACCACCACCATATTTTACTGTTGGTATGATGTTCTTTTTCTGAAATGCGGTGTTACTTTTACGCCACACATAATGGGACAAACACCTTCCAAAAAGTTCAACTTTTGTCTCGTCTGTCCACAGAGTATTATCCCAAAAGTCTTGGGGATCATCAAGATGTTTTCGGGCAAAACTGAGACGAGCCTTTATGTTCTTTTTGCTCAGCAGTGGTTTTCGTCTTGGAACTCTGCCATGCAAACCATTGTTGCCCAGTCTCTTTCTTATGGTGGAGTCATGAACACTCACCTTAACTGAGGCAAGTGAGGCCTGCAGTTCTTTGGATGTTGTTGTGGGGTCTTTTGTGACCTCTTGGATGAGTTGTCGCTGCGCTCTTGGGGTAATTTTGGTCGGCCGGCCACTCCTGGGAAGGTTCTCCACTGTTCCATGTTTTCGCCATTTGTGGATAATGGCTCTCACTGTGGTTCGCTGCAGTCCCAAAGCTTTAGAAATGGCTTTATAACCTTTTCCAAACTGATAGAGCTCAATTATTCTCTTTCTCATTTGGTTTTGAATTTCTTTGGATCTCGGCATGATGTCTAGCTTTTGAGGATCTTTTGGTCTACTTCACTTTGTCAGGCAGGTCCTATTTAAGTGATTTCTTGATTGCGAACAGGTGTGGCAGTAATCAGGCCTGGGTGTGGCTAGAGAAATTGAACTCAGGTGCGATAAACCAGTGTTTTGACAGGGGGGCAAACACTTGTTCACACAGGGCTATATAGTTTTGGATTTTGTTTTCCCTTAATAATAAAAACCTTCATTTAAAAACTGCATGATGTGTTTACTTGTGTTATCTTTGACTAATATATAAATTTGTTTGACGATCTGAAACATTACAGTGTGACAAACATGCAAAAAGATAAGAAATCAGTAAGGGGGCAAACACTTTTTCACACCACTGTATGTATATACTGTAGCACCATAGCATTTGTTTAGATGATAGGCGGCCTGTTTTATCACCATCATCTCACTTCTTGACAGACTTGGATACCCAGTACACAATGACCAGAGCCCAACGGGTGCGGGCTGCGATGTTCCCAGAGACCCTGGAGGAAGGCACCACCATCTTGTCTACTCAGACAGACCCGTCCCAGATGACCAATGTCCAGCGCCTGGCTGAGCCCTCCCAGATGCTCAAGACAGCCATCATCCATCTGATCAACTACCAGGATGATGCTGAGCTGGCCACACGTGCCGTGCCCGAGCTTACCAAGCTGCTCAATGATGAAGACCAGGTGATGAACATAGAATTGCACCTGAACACGTATAGCTCGATATTTTGGTCAAATCTGTCTTTACTGGATGGTGTGAGTAAGGGTCTTATGTGATAACTTCATATACATGAGTATAGTGCTGAAACAGTTACTCAACTAGCTAATTAACATAAAAGTCAGAAGAATAGTTTAACATTTGAGAAAACACTTAATTTGCTTTCTTGTGAGAGGTAGACAAGAAGTTCAGTACCACTCATGTCTGTGTGCTAAGTATGAAGCTGCTGTCAGCAGCTGGTGAGCTTAGCTTAACACAAAAACTGGAAACGGGGGAAACAGCTGACTCTGTCCAACTCTGTCCATCAGTAAGAACATGCGCCTGCCAACACCTCTAAAGCGCTTTGATTTGCATGTTGCATCTCCTTGCAGAATTATTGCTTGGCCAGACACAACGACGACAGGATTTTAGGAAGTGACTACACTGGCCTTTATGCAGAGCTAAGCTAAATGGCTGCTGGCAGTAGCTTGATATTTACTGTACAGACATGAGTGGTTATGATCATCTCATTTAACACTCAGCAATTTAAAATGAAAATAACTCTCAGATGCAGCCCTACATGTTAATCATTTTCTATAAGAGGAGTACGATTTTAAATAATGGGAAATAACTTTGATTCTTATTTCTGCCACTAACAATTCTTTCCTTTTCCCTGTCATCTTTCATCAGCTGGTGGTGAGCAAGGCAGCCCAGATTGTCAACCAGCTTACACGCAAGGAGGCATCACGCCGCGCACTGATGCAGTCCCCTCAGATGGTGGCGGCGGTGGTGCGTGCCATGCAGAACACAAGCGACATGGAGACTGCACGGGCCACAGCCAGCATCCTCCATAACCTGTCCCACCAGAGAGAGGGCCTGCTCTCCATCTTCAAGTGTGGAGGCATCCCTGCTCTAGTCCGCATGCTCAGGTAGCTACCGCCAGACACAGAACAACAGATCATATGTGAATGAAATCTTCAACTTGATGCATGTATTATTATTATTATTATTATTATTATTATTATTCCAACTACCAGTTTAGTTTAGGCACATTCTCGTGGGGTGTGTTGACTGGCATTCTGGGATATGTAGGAAATCACAGATTCAAGAAGTAAATGAGGCAGATGGATTAAATTAGATCCCACTACTGTAGGACGACTGGGCATGCTGTGTTGTGATACACTCTTATCTGTGTGTCTTTGTCAGCTCTCCAATGGAGTCTGTGCTTTTCTATGCCATCACCACGCTCCACAACCTGCTGCTGCACCAGGAAGGAGCTAAGATGGCTGTGCGTCTGGCCGATGGCCTCCAGAGGATGGTCCCCCTGCTGAAGAAGAGCAACCCCAAGTTCCTGGCCATCACCACAGACTGTTTGCAGCTGCTGTCTTATGGCAACCAGGAGAGCAAGGTGTGCATGTGTAACTATCAGTTAGATTTTGTGCTAGCACACATGATCCAATAGCTGGTACACGTCATAACGGCAACCTTTTGTACTGTGAGACTGTTGAGGTTGACCTGCTTGTGGGTACATGTGTTTTGTTTTGGGTGTGGCATGTGAACAGGGTTGCTCACTTGCTGGCATAGTGAGGGTATGGGTGTGGTTATTCGTTAAGAGTAGTAATGTGAAAGAGTATTAGCTGGTGTTAATCTGCCTGGACAGATCATGGCTTTGTAAAACCGTTAGGATTTTTTTTACAGATGGCTCCCAAGTATTAAAAAGTAAAAGTAGTTTTCCCTTAACCTGCTCTTTGCATACATCCACATACTCACGGTCCCTCTGTTTCACAGCTGATTATCCTTGCCAATGGTGGTCCTGAGGGTCTAGTTCACATCATGACAAATTACAACTATGAGAAGTTGCTGTGGACCACAAGCCGTGTGCTCAAAGTCCTCTCTGTGTGCCCCAGCAACAAACCCGCTATTGTTGAGGCTGGTATGTAATATACGTTTCCTCTGTCAGTACACACTTGTGTGTATAAAGTAGTCATAGAGGCATGTCAGCTTTCTGCTACCTGAGCTGTGGCTTCTTGTCAACCACAGTGCAGTATGACAGCTCAGTTAATGAGGTGTTACTGAGTGATTTGGCATCTCCCTGCAGGTGGGATGCAGGCTCTGGGTAAACACCTTCAAGGCTCCAGCCAGCGTCTGATGCAGAACTGCCTGTGGACACTCCGGAACCTGTCTGATGCTGCCACCAAGCAGGTTTGTGACCACATTTACTGTTTAACTTTGTTTCCTCCTCTCTTTTTGAACAGCAGCTTTTTTTTATTTTTTATTTCCCATAATTCTGCACGAGGAACTTTATGAAATCTTTCTTTTCTTGTTTCCAGGAGGGCGTGGACAGCCTGCTGCAGGTGCTGGTTGGCCTGCTCAGCTCAGATGACCTCAACATGCTCACTTGCGCCACAGGTATCCTGTCTAACCTCACATGCAACAATGCCCACAATAAAACTCTGGTCACCCAAAACAACGGTGTCGAGGCACTGATCCACGCCATATTGCGTGCCGGTGAGAAGGAGGATGTGACTGAACCTGCAGTTTGCGCTCTGCGCCACCTGACTTCACGCCACCAGCAGTCTGAGGCGGCGCAGCATGCTGTGAGGAGACACTATGGCATCCCCGCCATTGTCAAGCTGCTCAACCAGCCCTACCACTGGCCTGTCATCAAGGTACAGGGAGGGACGGGAGTGTGCTCATATTGAGATAGGGTGGTTTAAGGAAAATTGTGGAAAGGATCTAAGACAGGGATGTAGGGTCAGACTGAAAGCTGGTGATTTGAGGGAACATGATTTAAAGGCTGTGGAGAAAAAAAACACTGAGTTAATGGGTTTGGTCTAAAGATAAATCCTGGGGAAAATGGGAAAGACTGGACAGATGGACAAAGAGGATGGCACATAGGGCAGAAGGACAGAGTCTCAGTCAGCACGACAGAGCATGAAGTGCACCTCACAGCAGGAACAGTGTGTTTCACAAGAAAAAAACAAGTCATATACAAAAAGCTTGAAGTGGTTTGTTGGCCTTGTTTTTGCTTGCTAACCAATAACAATGAGCCGTGTCATGATCATGTCTCTGCATTTCCTCCCTGGCTGAAGGCTGTGGTTGGCCTCATCCGTAACCTGGCCCTGTGCTCAGAGAACCAGGCTCCCCTGAGGGATGCAGGGGCGACTCCCCGTCTGGTCAACCTGCTGCTCAAAGCCCATCAAGATGCCCAAAAACACGGCTCATCCGCCCAGCAGACGTACCAGGTACATGACAGGCTAGCGTCAAGAAAAGTTTACGGTCACTGATTCACTATGAGCGAGTGGGCGTTTAACGAAATGTGGAAATTACTATGTTGTGGATTATTATCCACAACTAGTAATGTACGTTTCTGTCTTTGGTCAGCTTTTGTTTTATCGATCTTTATTCACAGGATGGAGTGAGGATGGAGGAAATTGTGGAGGGCAGCACAGGCGCTCTGCACATCCTGGCCAGAGATCACATCAACAGAGCAGAGATTGCCAACCTGCAGACCATTCCCCTCTTTGTGCAGGTAACAGAGGAAACTGAAGCCCTTACATTTCCTTGCTTTGTCTTATGTTTGTTTTCCTTACTTCAGTTCTTACTCTTCTTCTCCAGCTGCTCTACTCTCCAGTGGACAATGTGAAGCGTGTTGCAGCTGGCGTCCTGTGTGAGCTGGCACTGGACAAACAGTCAGCTGAGCTCATCGACAGTGAGGGGGCGTCTGCTCCACTGATGGAGCTGCTGCACTCCAACAACGAGGGCATTGGTAGGACACTCAGATAATGCACTGCAATTAATTTACTGTAATGTAGCATTGTATGTACAGTCGAAGGTGGAGAATAGTCAATTTATTCAACTTGCTGTTGAGTTTCCAGGTACTTGGAACTGGATATAACTATGCCCATTTTGTGAGGCCTACATAAAAAATACAATCATAAAGTAGGATGCAGTGTCAAAGTTTAAACTATAACAGATTGTAAAAGTATGTGTCTTTACAGTACATTTATGTGTGATAATACAAGGACCATGGCAGAATTGGTCACAGCAGTGCATTACACAGATACATCCCAGATATCAAGCTATTAAAACTAAATTCACCATGTCGATGATGCCTCGGGTATTTCTATAAATGAAAATAGCTACTATACAGTCACAGAGTAACTGACATTTGCACTAGTATTGTATCTTTAAAACCTACAATTCTCAAAGTGCATTCCAGGTTGAAATATTTGATCTGTTTTCATTGAACACACATTATTAAAAATAATCTATATACATCACTGAATGTATCCCGATCCCTTTCCCCTTAGCTACTTATGCTGCTGCTGTGCTCTTCCGCATCTCCGAGGATAAGAACTCTGACTACAAGAAGCGAGTGTCTGTGGAGCTCACACACTCCTTGTTCAAACACGACCCCGCTGCCTGGGAGATGGTAAGAGCCTGGCGCCCTCTGCTGGCAACTAAGCATTAAACGTTAATCTTTTTAGACATTTCTTTATTCCCTTCAGCTCTTTGTTTTTATATCTAACTCACCTCAGCATCCTTATGCAATGTTGGCAGCACAGTAGGTGAAGTAGTTTGGTTTTGTTGAACTGGCTCTTTACTATATAATCTTAAATGAAATGTTTAATACGTTTTCTATATACAAGAGACTGACCTGTATTTGTGACCTCTCTACAGGCCCACAACAGTGTCCCCATGGATACAAACTATCCAGATGGTGAGTAACTATGGCTGAAATTTGCACATACAGCACATTCCTCAGTGCGGGGTCGCGCCATCACAGGGTTAAAATGCTGTAAGCAGGATGTCTTGCTGTAGCTGCCTGCATATTCCATTTATCATTTGGTTGCCAAAGAAACCTTGTTTGTTTGTTCTTTAACTTAAAAATACTCTCATTGACTCAACCAGCACAGGCTTAGCTTGCATTGATTGTTATTCATGTTTATTATTTTGATGTCCTCTTCAAATCACTCAAATATTTGGCCTCTTTTGTCTGTCTTCTCCAACTCTGTTCTTTCCTTTTTTTAAGTTGTACATTGTGTAGTTGTTAATGTCTTCTTTTCTCCAGCTGTTGTTAGTGACCAAATGGATATAATGAAATACTTTACTTCACAGCCTGATTTCTTCTGTCACATCAGCCTTGGACTTTTCTTTAGGCATAATGCCTCAGTCTTATTCTTGAGATTCACCATTGCTCAGTCTGTCTAAAAAGGTTTATCTTCATCAGTCTCCTTTCTGGAGTTCTCCTATCTGTGTCTGCATCTTTCTTCTAATTCCCTTCTCTTGCCTTTTCTCCTTTTATGGCCTTGGTATTTTCTGTCTCCTACTCTAAGTAGAGAAAAGGGATCAGCCTCTCTTCGCTCTGTGATCACACTGTTCCAAAAATGTGCCTGAAATGTGGAAAGCATTTATAATTTCCACAAGTTTGTTCAATTTTCTACACTGCTGTTGCCACTATGATGACAGCAGCAATAAATAAACCCTCCTGAAAACACAAATGATGCAAAGATGATCTGTTGGTCTGGTTTTAAAAATTGTATTGTAAACTCTTGCAGAGTTGGATGTTGGTTACCAAGGCTATGGAGGATATGGACAGGAAATGCCAATGGATGGCATGGACGGAAACATGATGTATGATGATTTCTCTGGCGGCATGCACTAAGAAAGACAACAGTACCATGACCCTTAGTAAAGGTCAGTACATGCAAATATTACCTCAGCCTCTCAGGATAGGTTGGTTATAATTGAAAGCCCCTGAAGTCTTGTCAAAAAAAACATGTAGCTATTGTTTATTAAGATTTTAACACTTAAAACTCAGCTAATCTGCTTCATTAGGACCACAGGAGTGCCTTAACTGTCATTACAATTAGATTCAAATGTTTTGTTTTTTAGAAAAAATTAAATAGGTAAATAAATACAAAAAAATTCAAACAGATTAGAATAAAGATGTGGATGCAGGTAAGGAGTAAGAATAAAAAGCTGACTGATACGTTCTGAGGGATATCACAAATGACTTAAAAAAAAAAAGAAGCTTTTGCTCTTGTTATCGTTTGTAAAAGAGGATTAGACGTGAAGACAAGGGGGAAAGAAGGTCAAAAGTGTGCCAATTAAATATATACAACATGTTCTAGAGATGTTATTCATGTCGCAGTAAAATAATGTTTTTGAGGCTAAAGTGTAAAACCTTTAGTACTGACATCATATGAATTAGGCCAAAATGTAATTTTTATTTCAAAATAAATGTATAGTATGTCAGTTGTATACAGCCATATATCTAGAAATGAAAAAGAGTTTCATGTAGAATTTTGAAATTGTTTCAGATTGTGTATCTTGAATGCTTCTGTGGCCAAAACATGAGTGGCTCTCATCCTGATTGGTGTGGTGGAGTTTGTCCCGCCCACTTAATACCAATGAGAACAGACAAAAACACAAATACACAAGTCTCTCCTTTTGAAATAGCCAAACTGTTTGAACACTGGCATTGCTCGTGAGAAGAACCTGACAGGCAAAATAAGTTTTCAGCTCCCCCCCGTTTTCTTTTGAAGTTAGAAGCCAGTTGACAGTCTGTGATCCTGCAGAAACACTGTGAAAGCAGCTCTGTGGATTTTTCTTTTTTTCTCATCATGTGTCTTTCATTTCCTTGCAGTGGGATGTAATGGCAAAAAGAAGAAGAGGATATAGGCGTCGGTGGAGATTATTCCCTTTGCTCTCAGCCTGATGTAATATATGCAATTATCACGGAGTACGGGAGTCATAATCTCTTAACAGGGCTTGACTTTGTTTTATAGCCTAATGTTGCTGATTATAATTGTGACGGTGATAATGCTCGTAGGTTGTGTGCGTGTGAGTACGTGTGTGTGTTTATGCTTCGGGGTGGGTATTCTATGCCAAAGAGATTTTTATTTTGTGATGATAATCATGTGGCTTCTGTTTTGTAAGAAAAAGAAACAAAAAAAGAGAATATAAGTTGAAAACACTGCCAGAGGTGGCTCGAGGTGTACGGTACACCCACTCACCACCTGGTTTCCTTCTTAATGCTTTTTTTAACAGACGCTGTTGTTTATGATGTAGTTCTGACGCTATATACGTCATCTTCTTCCCACTGTGAGCCCAGAGCCGGTGAAGCATTAGATAGAAGGCTCCTCTTTTTCTCACAACACTAATTCTTTAGGAGTGAACAAACAGGAAGTGCGGAGGTCTTTGACAGACCCTTGCAAGAGCAGCGTAGGGCTGCCCACCACTCTCACATAATCAGCTGCAGGTGAACAAGTTAGTTTGTTTTTTATGAATTGTTTCTCATCTTTTTGTAAGTTATTTTCTGGGCTAGAACACTAATAAAGATGTCTTGTTGGATTTTAAACAGAATTTAAAGAGAAGCTCATTGGTGCCTGTAGTAATTTACAGAACAGCAACATAGGTGGAGCAGTTTTACAGATTTGTTCAACAGACTGGTTCATTAGTCAACACATGATTTACAGTATAAAGTCGGGGAGCAAACTACTGATGGGGAAACTTCTTTCTACTTAAGAGTTTTTACTGAAATTTTGTTTAATTAAAATAAAGAATATATTAAACATGTTGTGGTGTCCATATTTATTTAGTTCCAACAGTTTTATAGCTACACTAGATAACTTTTTCAAATATTTTTGTTGTAGAAATCTGCTCTAAAACTCATCTTAATGTGGAGAGGTGCAGTTGAAGCCTCCTGTGACCCAGGCTCATTGAACAGCTCTGGCAGCTGTGCAGAGATATTAGCTTCTAAAAGGTTTTGAGCAGGACTGACCTCTCTAACCAACCTGAGTTTCAATTATTTCCACTTGATCAGTAAGTTTTTGTTGTGTTCTCATTTAATATAATTTCATAACAACAAATATCTGAAGAGCTGGAGAAAGCGTGGCGAAGGGTAACAGATTGTAGTGGAGCAAGGAGAGGGAATGCTGGGGTGGCAGGGTGGACTGATCTGGAGTTTCATACTACTGCAACCTTATGTTAAATACTGAAGCTTTAAGTCCTATAGAATATTTGTGGAGTCTTATTACACCCACAGTGAAAACTGAAAAACCACATTTTGAGATTTTTGCTGGTAGAGACAAGAACTAATATGCTGTCATTGTCATGATTCCTGTCTGTCCTATTTATTTTTAATTCACCTGCACATTGCCAGATTGTTTCCTACCAGCCTGTTGCCTGTCCCTCAAGACTTCATTCTGTGGTCATTAGCAAAAAGCGCATTGCCATCCAGGATTAATTTTAATTTAAAAAAGCTTTAGTGGTGCTGTATATAATCGTATATGTGCAATATCTTTCTACATGCCAAGAAAATGTTCAGCCTTCAAATTCTTAAACCAAAAAGTAGTTAAGAACTGGTAAGCTCTTTAGAACCAAAGGCTTTAGTGCAGAACAAGTCAATAAAAGCTGAGGTATGAATTGTGGTTTGTGGTGCCTGAGACAATACCAGCCTAAGAAGCTCGCTGTACCAAAAGCAGCGTTAGATCCAACATGAGATTTTATTACAAGTTCTGGCTCTAGTTGAAGATATTTCTGTAATTTGGCAAAATTGGGTCATTTTCAAGCTAAATTCTTAGTCAGTGCCACGGCATATAAACCAAAACAATCAATTTTTGGATATCATTTTTGCACTGTCAGTGCCACGGCATATAAACCAGAACAATCAATTTTTGGATATCATTTTTGTTTTCAGTGGTCCAGTATTAGTGAAGATTTATTATTTTTGTCTTGGAAGCATTTTGGTTATAGATCAGTGTAATGAAAATGTTTTCAAAAAGAAAAAACCGATTGTTGCTGAACTTCAGAAACGGCTTCTCAGCTCGTTACTGCTGAAGGGTTTAATGGGTTCAGGGGATCAAAATATCTTTTCACCAAGTGGTCAATAAAATAATGATGCTTTGCATAAGAACTATGCGGTTTTATTTATATTTCATCATCATTGTCACCAGGTCCATATAGAAAATATATTAACATTTGAATTAAACATTTCAGTGGCCAGTCAAAACAGACACATCATGCAGACACAATCTACAGTGTTGTAACAGAGGTGAGTGGTGAGCTCCAGAAGAACAGCGGGGACACAAAGGAGTTATCTTATTTTAAGATTTATTCACTGATTTTCAACTTGTTCTGTGAGTAAAGTGTGTGATACTCTACAATAGTGTTCCATTTGTTGTCTGCACACTCAGTCTCTCTCTCTCGCTCATGTGGACTGTACATGCAGTAGAGATATAAGTTACTGATCATCATTTGTATGAGTGAAGGGTTAGGGTGCAGAAACTGTAGCTGCCTGTTGTGCATACCTTCTGATTTCTTGAGGCATCAGTTCATCACTGGTTAGTGTTGCTGAGCTGTGTTTGCACAGCTTGAAACATCACTCATAATTTTAAAACACCATGACTTGACCTTCCAGTGCGCTTAACATCCAGTCCAGTCATTTGGAGTGAGATTTCCTGCCTAATCCATTCGCTGACATTGGTTTGGGGGTAGGTATCCTAGGGTCACCACTCTGTTTAGGCCCTGAAACACCACCTACCCTCTGGCTGGAGCCCTGAAGAACAGTAGTGGCGCTCTTACATTTGTGTCCAGTGGGTTTTAGATCACATTATCAAACATGTGCATGGACTGCATGATGTTCTCATCCTGAACGGAGGAACAAAAATTGATGTACAGTATTTTGAATCAATTCAATAGCTTTTGAATGGAAATGTAGTTGGAATTAGCTGCGTCATTATTAAATGTGAAATGCTTGAAATTACCTTTTGGCATGTCTCCAAGAACTCTTCGATGGTGACTACTCCATCGTTGTTCTTATCCATTTTCTGGGAAAACACAACACATAATCACTGATGGTTCAAAGGGTTACTTAAAGGTGCCCTGTGGAGTTTTCATGCAAACAAAGACATTTCTATAAATATTCAGTGTTTCATACCTACATGCATTGTGAAGCCTCAATGCATTTGCTTTCCTCCTGATTTTTAAAGTGTCTTAAAACTTGTGTTGTTGACATTGTCTGCTACCTAGCAACTACAAAAGAAGCAAACAAATCGGGGACGCGCCCCGTAGTGCTACTAGTGGCCATAAACTCCACAGGGTACCTTTAAGTAGCCAAAAACAACTCTATGTTTTCAGCACATGCAGATTCAGTTCTGTCGCTAGCTAAATGAGCAGCGCTGCCTGTTGATATGCATGACCGCTGAACACACGCAACATGGTGAACCTGTACATTACTTGGAAATGGCATGAACTGCTTCAGCTGAGTAGCTCTAATGAAGTCTAAACATGGCCAAGCTCTTACGCTTGTGTAAAAACACATTATAAAAATAAACCCATTTTAAAGTGGAGTGAATTTCATGTGTTTTGAAGAATTACTTGAACTGACATTACTGAAGGAAGATGTAGAGTTTATTGGTTTGTGTGCTTCACCTGGAAGAAGCTGTCGACGTGATCCTTGGGAGCACTAGCCTTCATGCTGGGGTAGGTATATTGCCCCATCATGTCATAGATTGAGTGCATGATGTCTGTCATCTCCTGGGCAACAAGAAGGGAGGTAAACAAATAAGACAAAAAACATGAGTTACAAACATAAGACAAGAGACAGTGAATGGTTCGAGTACCTCTCTGGTGATGCAGCCGTCCTTGTTGAGATCGTACAGGTTAAAGGCCCAGTTGAGTTTGTCAGTGATGGAGCCTCTCAAGATGATGGACAGACTTATGGCAAAGTCCTACAGCAGGCAAAAAAACACTGACTCAGGATCAGGAAAGTTAATAACATTACTGGGAGTGAGTTAAAGACATAGCTGACAGCAGAGCGTGAAGTGACAGTATATATGTACATCACCTCAAAGCTGACTGCTCCGGTGCTGTGGGTGTCGAAGGCTTCAAACAGGAAATGTGCATATGTGCTTGAATCTGGAACAGAGAGAGAGTAAAGTAACCATTCAAATAGCTCAATGTTCCTGAATGACCAAGATTTTAACATACTTTTAACGCCTCTGTCGACTGTAGCCACAGTTGGAGGCATTATTTTTTTTGGGTGTCCATATGTTTATCCAGCCCTTTTATCTCAAGATCACCTTGAGGGAATTTCTTCAAAATTGGCACAAATGCTTGGACTCAAGGATGAACTGAACGACGCGACTGACTCCTTGGACTCAAGGATACACAGTGACCTGTAATTTTGGTGGTTAAAGGTCACTGTGACTTCCCATCTGTTCCATACCCATGAATTTGGCTGACTGGTGGAGACATACAACCGCAAGGCAGTAATTCTAGTTTATACATAAAAGAATTTGACACGGGCACATTACACACTTAAGAACAGAGGCGAGTGTTAGGTCCTGCAGTTTTTAATGGGCTCATATACATTGGTAGCCCGTGTTTTTACTGTACTGTGATAAATTCATGTTTTTGAAAGTTTAGACAACATATTAAGGTCTAAATCAAATCTGTGTGCAAACCGCAGTAACAGCAAAGTTCCATAAAATTCAGTAGAATGGCTGCTTTTGCAAACATATGACTACAGAGTCAAAGCAGAGGCTGTGTATGAAACTCTGCTTCAGCTGTAAAAGCAGGATTTAAGCTACATTTCTTGCCTAATTGGACTCTTAATGTCAACATCAAGACAATTGTGATAAAATAAATGTTGGCATGAGAGTAAGTGAGTGTGACTGACCTCCCTGAGGAAAGAACTGGGAGTAGATGGTTTTAAAAGTCTCTTCATTCACGGCCCCGCTGGGACACTCCTGTGGAAATCAGAACATCATCATGACGATGCAAAAACATATACAGTGTATACTGTGTGCTGTAACAGAGACAGACACATTCTCATGGGACTACATAATGAGACTAATCCACAGACAGATACTAAACATTCACAGGAAGCTGTGACTGACGTTTTTGAATTCCCGGTAGAGGACCTGCAGCTCTTTTTTGCTGAATTTGGTCTGCTGTACAAGCCGGTCAAGCCCCTCTGGTCTGTAACACACTGTTGACAGTTCTCCATCATCAGCTATACTTCCTGGATGGAGGGATGGAGAGAGGAATGAAACAAATACTTCCTGAGAGACACCAGTGTCCTTGAAGTGCTGTGCCCACAGGAGAAGGTGAAAGTGGAGAAATTAGAAGAGAAACAAAACAATAAACAAAGCAGATGATGTGTAAAAGAATCGGTGCCCATGTTTTCTGAGTGACTGAATCCATATCACAGGGAGTCTGAGTGATGACAGTGCATGTGTCCTGATACTTGCTTTGATTAACTGAAGAGCTGGAGCCAGAGCGACAGCAGGGGAGCAGTTTCAGGAACCGCTGCTTTATGCTCTTTTTATTGGGTTTGGACTGTGGATTACCTGGAAGCAACCAATCACAGCACAGATTAGAAGAAGACAGAGCAGCCCAAAACATGAGCCAAAACACTTTGAATCACTTGTCCACCCAACTTGGAGTGCAAAACGGTTTGCTGACTCGGCTTTGAACCAGCGTGACCTGTCAGACTTGTTTGGACGGCATCAGCATGTGAGGGCTGAGGGACACGACACATGACTGAATCCATCTGAACTCTGAGACGCAGATGTCAAACAGAGTGTCGTTTCAATGTCTAACATTCTGTCAGGACTCCACACAGAAAGGCATCGGGCTGGCCGGGGCTCAAACCCGGAACCTTCTCGCTGTGAGGCAGCAGTGCTCTTTTACCAGATAGACCTGGCTAATGATTAATACATTTAATTTCAAATCAAATCAAATTTTATTTGTATAGCGCCAAATCACAACAAAAGTCATCTCAGGACACTTTACAAAGTAAGGTCTAGACCTTACTGTTATCAATATTATTACATAGGGAAAACCCAACAAATCCCCCTTGAGCAAGCACTTGGCGACAGTGGGGAGGAAAAACTCCCTTTAACGGAAGAAACCTCCGACAGACCCCAGCTCTTGGTGGGCGGCCTTCTGCCTCGACCGGTTGGGGTGAGTGGATAGAGGAGAGACAAAAGAAGAAAAGCAACAAGACACAACAATCAAACACTGATCAGGTCGATGTGGCCGGTGACTGCTCGTCAGAGACATAGAGCTCCAGGGCCAGGGCAACCTGCAGAAAGGTACAGGGAGAGAGAGAGAGGACACACTACGGGAGAAAGGAGACACAAAGTTAGTAATGTGTAATAGTGGCAAGCTAGTGGCAGAGGTGCATGCGCAGACAACTGGAGTTATGACCTGGTCTGAACAGCCAGATTTTAAAAACTGAGACTGGGAGTTGGTTCCATAGGAGAGGAGCTTGATAGCTAAAGGCTCTGCCTCCCATTCTGCTTCTGTGGACTCTAGGAACCACAAGTAAACCTGCACTCTGAGAGGGGAGTCTGAGTGATGACAGTGCATGTGTCCTAGTTTCATTATTTAAATTAAATTATTTAAATCTGGCAACATCAATTTCTCTGATTCAGATTGGGTGGAAATGTTGAGTGATTTCTGGGTGTGTGTGTTTTTATCCTCTGGAGATCATGGCTTTCTCCAAATCTCATAGCCACCCACCCAACAGTTAATTCAGTCTGGACCAAAGTGGGCCATCAGGCTGACAGCCAAGTTAACAGTGATAACATACACTTTTTGATAGATTAAACCCTTTTTCACACCGATGAACAGCTTGATATATATTTCATATATATTTCCTGTAATCAGTTTCCAACCTTTCATTGAAGCTATATCATGACCTTAAACCACATCTGTTTTATGGCTGCACCATTCAATCAAGTGTAAATCAGGTATTTTGATCTTCAATACATCCCCAACACTTTCCTGACTTAATGAGTATTTTAGGAAACTAAAATTTAAAACAAAGTTCAGTGGGTTTGAATTATGTTTAGATGCACAGTAAGCAGGAAAGTGTTTTACGCTGACAAAATGATGAGCACAGGAGAGCTGAGAAAGATGCACAAACACTGTGTTGACCTCATCCCTCATGGTCAACACTGGCCTTCACAGACACAACGTGGCTTTGTCACTTGACCTTTGAGAAGGACTTTCAGGATTTCCTCCACTACATTTACCACCACAGCCACAGATAACTGTCATAATTAACTAATTAAACATATTCTTACTCACCTATTCATCTAACAGAGTATTCAAACAATAAATCATGCATTATACATGACCTTTCACCCTGTGATCTTTAAATCATAATGGCAGTTATAGTCACATTTTACTAGTCAACTATCCGCAGGCTACATTGAGCAGAACGACAACTTTTTTCTCTGTTTAAAGTAAAATGAATGACAAGGAAAACAGTCGTCTTCTCCACTTTCTCTTGACAGTACCTGTTGACAAGGTGTCAGTCAGTCAGCTGCAGAAGTGTCTGCCCAGCTTCAACAGATTCCGGTGTCTCCTTTTTCACTGGTGCATGCTGAATGTGTTTCAGGATTGTCTCTGGTTCTTCTGCTTCGAGATCAGTTTTCAGTCAAATTCAGAGTGCATCTGATAGGCTTCTTTCTCTGGAGCAGTCGCATGGTTTTGTCCACTTATTCTTCAAGTGTGGACCGATAGGTTGAACCCAGGACTTCTCTGCTGTCCTTTTTCTTTATTGTTCTTCCTCACTTTTTGAATCCAGTTGTGTTCTCTAGACTCACTGACTCACTGAGGCTACAAGCGAACCTATCAATAATAGCGATTTGATGGATTACGGTCTGTCTTCCCGTCTTCATCAAGCTGCAAAACAGAAGCATGTTTTGCCTTCCCCAATGCAGGTGCACTCCTTCAGTAAGCACAGCAGACGTTGGACACTCCTGACCTCTCTCTAAAAAATCAACTGCATGTTTTCTAACCAAAAGCAGTGGTTGAAAAAGATGGATCTGAAATTAGCCCCAGCACATCTTGTGGATGAGGGTAAAAACAAGATATGCATTATTCTAAAATTAATGAAAAGGGGTAATATTTTATCCAATATAAATATTTTTCTTTTTCAGGTGCTATCCTTCCTGCCACCAGAGGGCAGCGTTGAACCACAGTCAGATTACACTCAACTGTGTGAGGTCTAATTCAGACAAAACAAACAAATACAAAGCCAGGAAGCAGCAGTGAGAACTGCAGGAGACCAAATCCCACTCCCATTAACCAGAGAAAAAAAGCCTGTGAACCATTTTCTGATGACATGGCCCATGAAACTGTACGACGGTAGAGAAAGTGTGGGTAAGAGTAGAACCTCTAAACTGTAACTAAAACAGGATGACACTACAGTGCAGTCGTTCTTTAAGATCTGCTCCCGAGTGATTACTGTAGGTTCATGTGTGTATATTTATTACCTGTATCATGTACATCAGTGACCGTGGGTACTGAGGAAATGTCAAACAAACAATCAAATACAGCAGCTGGACGCCCAAGGAAAAACAGGGCTTTATATTGTCGGGCCTTGAACCTCCAATCTGCAGAGAGACTATAAAAACAAAAAACTTCCCTGCTGTTCTCTTTCTAACTGGCTGACATTTTTAGAGCAGGGCACTGATCAAAGGTACTTTCTAACTGACTGAAATGTTTTCATAGAGCAGCTGTTTGATGTTGACAGAGAAGTCCAACAAAAGCAGCTTGTGTCTACCATACCTCAGATGAAGTGTTATTCCCCCTGCCTATGACCGACATAAGATTTTGGACAGAGTGTAAACATGCATGTCACTTGGGCACTTTCTGTTTCTGGGATAATGTACCCAACAGGATAAAGCATAGGCAGATAACTTACTAATTAAAGGCACTTTAAAGGTAGAATTTCATCTGCCCTACAGCACAGAGTGAACCTGCAGGCTGTGACTGAGACTGTGGCTCAGGGGTCGAGCAGGTTGACCCCTGATTACAGGGTTAGCAGTTTGAGTCCCAATCTCCTCAGTCCATATGTTGAAGTGCCCTTGTGCAAGACACTGAACCCCAGGATGCTCCCCGTGGCCAGTCAGCGTCTTGCATGGTGTGTGAATGCATTGACGGGTGAATCGGTAACAAGCTATATAAGTGCAGTTTGTTCACCGTTAAATAGCTCCAAGTCAACAGTTACCTCAGGACCTGCTGAGATCTCAGATTATCCAGCTGCCTTTTATCAGCTGTGGAGACCCTCTGGGTGACTTTTATTGTGGGAATCAATTTGAATAAATGCTGCTCTCTAAGGAAGATCAATACACCCTTCCCTTGTGTCATTAACACATTTAAACAATGTTTTATCCTCTCCTTTTATCCGACTCAAGCTGGAACTGTGGACGGACAACAGTGAGAGACGCTGGAGGAAGGGCTCCCAGGATGGAGGCCTTGCTTCTCTTGGTACATCCATGTTTACAACCAGTGATTCTTTATACTGTACATTGTTTATTAAGGACCCACTCAAGAGATTTTTCAGCCTTAATTGTTGCATTTCAGTTTATTTTCAATAAATCCTCAGACTTCTAAAGTGGGCCTAATCAAAGTTTCTGGCAAAAAAACAAAAAAGTAGCAATCGAAAGCACTGACTAAGGAGGTAAAATTAAACACAGTGGAATAATTTAATCCTCCCAAATTGGCAGCTGCATGTTTCATACACAAGTGTTTTTCTTGGTTTTCTTAAAAATACAGTTACCAGTTATACAATGGCTTAATCTCTTCATTATTTATAGACATATTTCTTTAAAATAATAATAATAATCTCCCAAATCCACAGAAAAAAATGTCATGGCCTCAGTGTCCTCTATAAAGTTAATCCTTTCTCCTAAATATAACCTACAAAGTGAGACAGGGATAAGTAAAGACAAAAACCCATAAAAGTAACAGTAAATGATTCATTAACAATAAAATTATTTGTCAAAATGTGTAAATGTTTGTAGAGAGATCCAGACTGGTGATGTTGATTTTATTATACCCTGCAGGTTCCCTGGTGTAAACATTTTACCTTGGGAGGTCGTGGCAGCTTAAGGGGGGTCATGCAGCGCTGAATGAACGTTTGTAAGCTACTGTTGCCAGGGCAACAGCCTCTGTGCTTATCGTAATCCTCCAGAAAGACATGGTTCAGATCATAGACGTCCATTTCATAGAAACCATGGACACACACACACACACACACACAAACATGTTTAGAATGACACACTTGCTCTTCCAGCAACATGTTGAGCTCCCTGGTGACTGTTCCAGAGGTTTACATCAGATCATTTGATCTCCTGTGTCCTCACACAGACTCCTCCTGTGTCCTCACTCATCAGTTACGTAGGACCGGATTTGATTTTTTTCCTACACAACATTGGTCTTATGTCAACAAATTCTACCAGTCTAGACTGAAGCCATTTCTTTTTGGCACCTAAAACATGAATGCTATATTAGAATCTGCTTTATTGTCCAGCTGTGTCGGACACAGGAGGAATTTGACTCTGGTACATCGGCTCTCAGTGTGCATGTGCATATCCCCATGCAAGGGGCAAGTAAACAGTAAACCAAACTGTGTAACATAATAAGCATAATAACAATAATAATAAAATAATAATAATAATAATAATATAATAAGCAGTGTTAACAACAACAAACAGTGCAAAACAATGCAAAATAAGCAGTATAAACAGGCAGTAAACAATGCAGACAGAATGATCTTAAGGGCATTTATTTTGATCAGTTACATCATATAAATTCAACACTTCGGTTTTGAACATTGGGATTTTTATGCATCAATGGAAGAAATGTCAGAAACAAAAACCTATGTAAATGTTAGCTAGCTTTTGTCATGCAAACACACACCACACTGCACAGACATGATACTACGACTAATTTATAGGCTACAACTGGAGACTATTACAACTGTAGACCATATGACATTTAAAATCCCATGAACCAAGACAGGAAATGTTTAACCCCAAGTCAGTACCAAACTGGAGACTGACAGACCTTACAAAGCACCAAGCATGCGTGTGTGTGATCTGTAAAGAGGCCTGTCTTTGCAAGCGCTTATGAGGAAAATAAAACACTGAGAAAGTCTGACAAAGAGCTGAGGCTCGCGGATCAAATTAGACTTGGAACACACACTGACAGGTGTAATTTTAAATGGCGTGGTCACACTCTCTTATTTCTTATATTGTGTTATTTTCACACTCCTCTCTTCCTCAGACTTAATCAGTGTGTTTATTTGACCTATGACCATGATGAGAATACCGAGTTCACTACCAGGTTTCTGCTTTTGTGTGATTATATACCACATTGTTCTCACATCTTTGTAAAGCACCTTAACTTTGATGCTTTTGTTTTTCTTGTGTGTATTGTATCATTCACACTGCACTTTTCAGAGCTAATTTGCCAAAAAAAAAAAAAACATAGTGCATCTCAATAATAAGGTGACCAGTAAAAAAATTGTATTGATCTGTTATTTAGGGCTGCAACTAATGGTTAGTTTTATTATTGATCAATCTGATAAATATTTCGGAAGTCAATCTAGTAATAGAAAATGCCAGAAAATAATGGGAAAAAATGTCCATACCTACCTTTTTGACCCCAAGGTAATATCTTCATGCTGTGTTTATACTGACATAAATCAGAAATAGGAGCAAGTCTTCACATTGGAAAAGATTAGAATATCTGGGAGTGCTTGGCTTTTTTTCTTGTTAAACGTCATAAATCATTAATGGCATTTGCTGTATTCCTGCTCGTGGACTAATTGATTAATTGATCGATGGCTGTAGGCTACAGAGAGACAGTAACACAACATGTTTTCAGCCTAAATCTACTACATACTCTTCTTTAAATCAGGTTAAGGCAGTGATGTAAAGTTCATCCCAAGATAAAGCCCATGTAACTACAACACAAACAATGTAATATAAACCCAAGTCACCCACTGTAAACAGCAGTTTAACAGATTCTCTTGAAAAGCCAACGTAAACTCTCATCAGTGCAGATGTGACTGGAGATTTAAGCCAGGCCAGCAAACAGCGGAAAGTCATGCAGCTGTTCCGTTTTTGAAAAGAGCAGAAAGAGCTACCTACCTGTAAGTGGGTCGTGAGATCTGTCCAGTTCTCTGGAGTCAGACAAACTCGGGTCTTGACTCCTGGATTTCATGTTTGCTTGGTGGTTTCTTACCAGACCACAGCGCCGAACCTGCAGGATCTGTGTGCGCGTCGCAGCTCGTCTACCACTTCTGCGTCTTCATTTCTGCTTTCATGTCACTTTTCTGCAAGCATCAGTCTGTGTGGGCTCCAAACGGAGGGAAGGTCCGCGCAAAGCGTTTCTGTGTCCCTGTTTCCTCTGTCCAAACTCCCGCGCAGCGTCAGTGCGCGCTCACGTCCACAGATCACTCTTGGCACTCACTTTGAAGGGCTTCTGTGGGTTTAAGGTTCACACGCAATAAAATACAGTAGGTGCTTTGGAGAAACCTGCAGATTTTACTGTGCTGATTGACCAAACATCCCCCAAAAATGACCGTGTAGCTGGAGCATCTCCATCTGTCCGAGCTGACACCAGAACACAGAGCGGAGAGGAGCGACGGAGGAGGAGAGGGAGGGAGGGAGGGAGGGGGAGTGTAGCTGCTGATAGATGGCCTCACCTTGGCTCGGAACTTGAACAGCTTTGACGCGCTATAGACGTAATACCTGTGGATCAATACCACGGCAGCTTCACGTCCTTGGGCTGGACGAGCGGAGTTAACAGATGACTCACTCATATTTTAGAAAATGCAGGCAGCATGGCCACGCTGAAAAACATTATATGGAACATTATATACACCTCATA